TTTAGAACAGACGAGGTTTCACCATCTTGGTCAGGCTGGTCTTGAACTCCTGACCTCAAGTGATCCGCGTGCCTCGGCCTCCCAAGGTGCTGAAATTACAGGTGTGAGCCACCATGCCTGGCTTAAACATTTGTTTTTAATTAGCCAGGCTTGGTGGCACACATCTGTAGTCCCACCTACTCAGGAAGATGAGGTGAGAGGATCACTTAAGCCCAGAAGTTCAAACCCGCAGTGATCACTCCATTGCACTCCAGCCTGGGTGACAGAGTGAGACCCTGTCTCACCAAAAAAAAGAGATTAAGGAGGAGAAGACTCTAGACCAAAAGAAGTAACTGATATTATTGAAATTATTTGGTAGCATAACTATTTTCACATATGTAAGCAAACCAAATAGGGTCTCAAAAGTTTGTTTGAGACCAAATGATCCATGTTCTCTACTTCAACCTAAAAAAAAGTTAAAGAATTCTACAATTACAAAAAGAACCGTTATTCTATAGTTACTAAAAGACTTGAAACTGTCACCTGAATGCATCTCTTTGTTACAAAACAAGTAAGCGGGGTAAGGGGGAAAAGTCATGATTCATCAACGCTGCCTGCTTTTTTAAACCCAGGAAATTCCTTTACACCCCCTTCTGGCTCTAGCCAGCAAGAACTGTGGGTGTACTACTCTAGTCATTCCTTTATCAGTAACATACAATGTTAACACTATGTACATGTAAAACTGATTTTTGGTCGAATATTCCAAATTCTAAATTCATTTGCTCAGATCTGATTTTTTTTTTTTTTTTTTTTTTTTTTTTGATATGGAGTCTTGCTTTGTCGCCCAGGCTGGAGTGCAGTGGTATGGTCTAGGGTCACTGTAAGCTCCGCCTCCCGGGTTCACACCATTCCCTGCCACCATGCCCAGCTAATTTTTTGTATTTTTGTAGAGACGGGATTTCATCATGTTAGCCAGGATGGTCTCGATCTCCTGACCTCATGATCCGCCCACCTCGGCCTCCCAGAGTGCTGGGATTACAGGCGTGAGCCACCATGCCCAGCTCTAAATCTTATTTTTAAAATAACTTATTAAATAGGATGCTGACATTCTCTCCATTCAAAATTTTGGTGGTGAAGCCACTATAGAAAACATTATGACAGTTCCTCAAAAAATTAAAAATAGAATGACTATGTGATCCAGCAATTTAACTTCTGGGTATACATGCAAAAGAATTGAAAGCAGAAGCTGGAACATCAATCTGTATACCAATGTTTATAGCAGTATGATTCACAAAACTACAAGGTAGAAACAACCTAAATGTCCATGGAAGGTGAAAGAATAAGCAAAATATGGTACATACTACACAATGGAACATTATTTAGCCTTTAAAAGAAATAAAATCCTGACGCATGCTAACATGTATGAATCTTGGGCACATTATGCTAAGTGAAATAAGCCAGTCACGAAAAAGGGCAAATACTGTATGTTCCACTTATATGAGGTACCTATTAATAGAATAGTCGAATTCAGAGATAGAAAGTAGGATGGTGGTTGCCAGGGGCTGAGGAGAGAGGGATACAAGGAGTTATTGTTAAATAAGTATGGCAACAGATTTGCAAGATGAAAAGCTTTCTGGAGATGGATGGTGGTGATAGTAGCAAAGCAAAATGAATGTACTTAATGCCAGTGAACTGTAGACTTTAAAATGCCTAAAATGGTAAATTTTATAAAGATTGTACCACAATTATTTTTTTTTTTCATTAACAGATTGGGGGAGGATTTTCTTAGAGGACAATTTGGAGTAATATTTGCTTTGTAATAAATTCACCCATCTATAATATTCCAAATCTATCCCATTAAGTCTGAGCTGTAATATTCCACCCACTGCTTATCACCACTTCACTGATTTCAACAGAATTCTTTTCTCTATTGACTTGAAATAGTCAAAGAAAAAAATACAAAAATCCTTTTCAAAGGTTTTTCCACATTTAGACACAGTATTTAGCAATGATCAAAATGTGATTTATTTTCGAATTCTAATCAAAATTATGAAATTATGAAATTATGAAAATTCTAATCATAATTTAGAAATTATGTCTTTTCTACAAAGACAATACTGAGCTCTCAAACTATTACTGAGTCTCACAATCATATGATATAAACATGTAATTTTACCATACTCACTTTTGGTAAGGAAACTGATTTGCCCAGTTACAGAAGAAACCAGTGTCATCCAAGTATCCATATGCCAAGTCTTAAGCTGCAATCCTTAAAATGAATTACTTGAGGCCAGGTGTGGTGGCTCATGCCTGTAATCCCAGCACTTTGGGAGGCCTAGGCAGGTGAGGAGGTCAGGAGTTTGAGACCACCCTGACCAACATGGAGAAACCCCGTCTCTACTAAAAATACAAAATCAGTTGAGCATGGTGGTGCATGCCCGTAATCCCAGCTACTTAGGAGGCTGAGGCAGGAGAATCACTTGAACCTGGGAGGCGAAGGTTGCAGTGAGCCGACATCGCACCATTGCACTCCAGCCTGGGCAACAAGAGTGAAACTCCGTCTCAGAAAAAATAAGTAAGTAAATAAATACATTACCTGGTTTTCTTATAACTGAATAAATGTTTACTTTTAAGTTAATCCTATAAAAATTTAAATAATATGAAAAACAGGAAAAAAATCATTTTTTACTAAGACCATCATTTGTAAGAGGACTCCAGGTTCCTAAACACACAAATGGCTAATGTGTTTAATGTGTGTAGTTTTCCAAATAATTTTTTCTTCTATCAATTAACATTGTTTTACCTATTTGACAACATAAAATTATTAGGCAAACAATTGTTCACTGCAGATGCTATTCCATTTTCCCCATTTTTAAACAATTGTGTATAGCATTACCATTGGTCTGAAGAGAAAAACTTATCCCCATCTTATTAATGTGATCGAAATTATCATTTTCATTTCCAAACCAAAATCCCTGGAAAATCTTGCTTTGCCTGAGTACAAGAAGCCTAAATTTCCTGTCCTTTAGCCAATATAAGGTTAACAGTTAAGCATAATAATTGTCACACACAAAAAATAGAAAGCAGATGCAAGTTATTAGAGATAAAAAGGCAAAATCAAAACAAAGTTATAATTACCTTATAAAGGGAAATCAGAAGACAATTTTGTAACACAGTAAAACTACACCTAGAAATATAGAGTCCTTTTTCAAACAGTGCATTCCACATTAGATAAAAGATAGAACTGGAGAACAAAAACAAAACAAAAAAACAGTGATGAAAAACTTAGGCAGGGCTGGGTGTGGCAGCTTACACCTGTAATCCCAGCACTTTCAGAGACTGAGGCGGGTAGGTCACTTGAGCCCAGGAGTTCAAGACCAGCCTGGGCAACATGGCGAGGCCCATCTCTAAAAAATCTAATTAATTGAAAAATTTTTTTAAATTTAGGCAGGCAAAAAGCCTGAGGCTAATCCTAAACCTACAAAACATCAAAATCTTATGGTCAACTTTTAAGGACCCTCCTTTATTAGTTTAGAGGTTATGGTTTAATCAAAGTGTAGATATATGCATATTCCTAATAGCTGTATATCGGATTCCACTGGGTAACCAAAACAGCAAACTCTGAAAATGGTTATCTGAACGTTAATTTGTAAAAACAAGGGCCGGGCGCAGTGGCTCACGCCTGTAATCCCAGCAGTTTGGGAGGCTGAGGCGGGCAGATCACCGGTCAGGAGATCGAGACCATCCTGGCTAACAGGGTGAAACCCTGTCTCTACTAAAATTACAAAAAATTAGCCGGGTGTGGTGGCAGACGCCTGTAGTCCCAGCTACTCATGAGGCTGAGGCAGGAGAATGGTGTGAACCCGGGAGACGGAGCTTGCAGTGAGCAGAGATCACGCCACTGCACTCCAGCCTGGGCGACAGAGCAAGACTCCGTCTCAAAAAAAAATTAATTAATTTTAAAAAAATAAGGAACTTAATACAACAGAGAGAGAGAGAACAGCCCAACAAAATTTCAGTAAGGAAAAATACTGCCTAGTATGCTAGTGTTAGACTCTGTGCAATGATGAGTGTTAAAGAGGGAAAAGTCTGCCTATACTTGACAGTAGCTTCTAAGTTGATGCCAAAATGGCTAAAAATATCTCACTAAAATAATTTCTTCACCAAACATCAAAAGGCAAAGGTAGCGCTCACAGGACATTAGTTCTAGCTCCAAGTCTTTCACAATGCATACAGTTCTACTTTCAAAGGGCCTCCCTAAGATACTTACATGTCAGTGGCACTACAGCTGGGTTTATTAAGAGAACAGCCTTTACTTATCCTTTAAAGTATTCCTGGAGAAAGGACACCAACCAAGCAATTCAAGTCTGTAGAGGAGGGGAATCCGCAAATATGAAGAGGTAATTTATTAAGCTTGTGAATTCATTGCAGAGATACTCTGGAATATACAGTCTTATCTGTCTCCTCGTTATCTTCTTACCCTCCAAAGATTCCATTAGGCAAAGTCTCAAATGTTTACTCCTCTTTGAAAAGGACCTCAGTACCCCATTGCTATTACCCTCGCCATCTCATCATTCTGCTTTTTTACTTTTCCCTTAATACAATATAAATACACCACGCCCATAACACCACACGCTCCACGCTCACACTCCATACATCTCTCCCCATAGAACCCAAAACATCCCATGCTTAATGGTCCCACACCAATTAAAACAAAAATTCTACACGTTCCCCTACACCATACAGGAAACACCATACATTCCACACACATAGTAACCCAAAAGTCATTAATACCTCCAACCCCATTCAACCCCGTACTTAACACATTCTACACACTCAGGATAGCATATAAATTATACGTTTTTCCATAGCTCGCCACACACACACACACACGCCACGCACCGTATAAAAGCCTAAACCACACACCACTGCAGCGTTCAAACGCTGGGAAGAAGACTCCCTTGTGGCACCGGAAACCCACGAGGTTGGAAGTGGGAGGGGAAAAGGGCCAGATACTTCACCTGAAAATCCGCCAGGATCATCTCCCGGTCCATGTTGGACGCCATGGCGGCCGCCGAGTTCCACGGCTCCGGGAGCGAAGCGCGCACCTGGGAGGGAGACGGTACCTCCTGCGACCGTC